AACATATGTGGTGTGTATGTTTTAATGGATGTATGTATGTCATGTGAGCATGTACTAAGATTTGCTTGGTCACACATGGACGACAATTTGATAAAGGCAAGTGTTAAAGTAGTTCCATGAGTATGACAATGTTTGTCCACTTCTGTTTAAGTTTTTTGCTGTCCAACAAAACATCCAGGTTAATTTTCGTGGCCAACATTTTTTTGAAATTCAGTTGATTTCCCTGTTTTAGAGGAAATCTGTAATTTTGAATTAATTTTTAAGGTCTATATGGACAATTAAAATATCTAATAAAGATGCAAGGGGCTGGAACGTCCCATTTTTGTAATATTCACAATCACATGGATGGGAGTTAATTTTTCGAAATATTTATCTGGGAACCCGTTAAGACATGAATTTTGTCATCGTCAAATTCAAAGTCGATTCACTCATTTCTATCAGTTTGATATTTTCAAAAACTAAAGTCGTATGTAAGGTTATCTATCTATATTCATATATAAAAGAGTAAAAATGAGTGACTGACAGATTCATCAAAGCCCAGGCAAAACGGCTGAAGCTAAAATCTTACAATTTTGCATATAGGTCTATGTTGGTGCGTAGGGATGAAATAAGGCTGCGTTTTTCGAAATTTAGACAGTAAGTCTACTAAAAGTCATAAAAAGCACCATATTTCGTACATTTTTTTTTGATGGGATAGAGCTAAATTCTTGACATCTATATATATAAAAATCAATTGTTGTTTGTTGGTAACGGAATCAGTTGAAAACGGCTGGACCGATTTGCATAATTTTTTGTACAAACGTTCGTCATACCCCGAGTTAGGTTTTTAAAGAAAAAAATATTGACCACGCCTACTTTTACGCCCACTATCTTTATTTATCTAAAATCTTTATATTTGCAAGATAATGAAGATATCGGTTTGAAAATTATTACACGAGATACTGTTGACTTTCCCTCCAAACTTAGGAATTTATTTGGGCGACAAGGAACTGACCACGCATACTTCTAACCTGTCTATATATATAAGGAAGTTGTGTTAGTTACTACGCATATAACTCAAGAACCGCTGATCTGATTTTAACGATTTACACAAATTCGGAATTGTCTCTTGGCAGAAAAGGATAAAAAATCGCGTAAAAATGTGAAATTTTAAAATTTTCATTTTGACTTTTGAAGTGTACAATACTAATGTTTTATTTTGCATGAATTTTTTTCCATTTTGACTTACTTTTTTCTAATGTACATTTGTAGAGTTTTTTATATTTTATTTTTGAATTCGAATATTAATACCAATTTATTTAATTGACTTGATTTCTTGACAACTGAAATTGAAGGCGGGTTACATGGAAGTGTAATACCGAATTATATGGTGGCGAAACGGAATAGATGATATCGAAATGTCACACCAAAGTAAAAAATAGATGTCACACCAATTAAAAAAAAAATACTTTTTCAAAATCGCGAAAAAATCACGAAAAAAGAGATCTCATTGAATTTTCAATGAAATCGAATTTTAAAATAATAGTACATTCTATCGACAAATTTCGCAACTACCTTTAAACTTCTGCTGTAAAAAATCATCGAACAAGAAGGACTTTTTTCTTTCTTCAATTTGTTTTTTTTTTGTCAATTTTATATAATGTACGATTAAATTTTAAATGATTTTTCAATTTGGCTTATCATATTAAATTCAATCAATTGTTTGTAAACAAAATTCAAAATTATTTTCACAATATAAAAGAAAGTTATGTTAGGTACTACGATTATAACTATAGAACGGCTTGACGGATTTTAACAAATCATATAATTTTGGAATGTTTTCTGGCGAATGAATAATATTAAAAATGAAATGAGTGACCTATGTACATCCCACTTCATTCATATGACAATAATCCGTCCAATGAGAACTCCAAAAATGCAATTCATTGGGACTGCAATCAGTGAAGTACCGAATATAAAGGGTGCAAAATGGTAGAGCGAATTGAACATTTAGTAAAAAATGGATTTATATCCTTCCAAAATCGCTTTTGCAGGTCATGATATATGACCATCGGTTAAGGGTACAGCCCGATTTCGAGTATAACCATATTTTGCATACTAATATCAGCAAAGGTTGGTAATTTGAGAAGAAACCATCCTCGCAAAAAATGATCACGTTTTGGTTTAAACATCATATGATTTAGACAATTTTCGGGGTCATGGACTTTTTTTCATTTTTAGGTCATTATTTGGCATCTTTGTTTCTAAGAAGATAAAAAACCCCTTCTGATGAAATTTTCAATTTTCGGAGAGGGTCCATCTTGCTCTTGACCACATTCATCAATTGATTTGGCTAAAAAATTGTATTTAGGCAACTCTGGGGTAGAGAATCATCTTACAGATAATTGTCCTTATAGACATTTATTTGAGTATAGTTCCTACTTTAGTGTACCTCCAAGTCCAATTTCCCAAACAATGTGTTATCAGAAAAGAAAATTTTGTATTATATTGAATTTGTAACCCCCAAGAGAATATTGGTTGGGGACGTAGATTTGGGATGTACGTCTATATGAGATAAACTCAGAAATATCAAACGCTTTCAATCGGAAATTGTGGCAGAAACATGAAAAATTACGAATATTAATTTCTTTGATCGTCATTGAATTATACTATGATGAAAAATATAGACTTTATGGGGTCTCCAACGCACAATTTAAATGACAAAAATAAATAAATTCCATTCTTACGGCAATGAGATCACCCTAATCAAAATATCTAAAACCGACGGTGTTTGATTATCTATTATAATTTTTGCCATGAATGTTTATTTCTATTTTGAAATTACTATGGAGCTAATTTACCTATAATAAAAATTATGCCACCTACATAATTCAGATCTGTGTTCTATTATGCTTAAAAAAATATTCATTAAAGACTAAAAGTACGGGTCAGCAAAGCGGGCCGGGCCAGCTATTACTTATAATCAAAATTGTGCCGTTCTGTGATTTATTATGCTTTAAAAAATACGCATCAATGATTAAAAGTACAGGCCGGCAACGCGGACCGGGCCAGCTAGTTTGGTATAAAAATTAAGTTTGGGAAAGTTTTTTTTTTTTTTGGAAATGTGTACTAAGTTTGACAAATCTACCAAATGGTACTAAATTCGGTACAATTTGGTTTTGGTTGAATGGATTGATCTTGAAATTTAATATGTTGCTATTGGGGTCTCTGCTGATGGGTAGTGTTAAGATAAAGAGTTGAGTTGAAACTAAATTTGGCCTTGCGTGGACGGAAACTGCTTGAAATCTGAAATTTGGCATTAGGATCACTGTTAGTGTGTGGGGTTGAAATTTTGTGGTGTTTTGGAATACGTATTAAAAAGTACTATATGGTACTACATTTTGTATCTGGGTTAGGAATTGAGTTGGAAGTCTTAAATTTAATATTAGGATCAATTTTAGTACTAACAAGTGAAAAATCAGCTTTTATACCCTCCACCATGCAGACAAAAGACAAACAAAAATCCAGGACATAGAATTTTACTCTGATCAAGAAAATATATAATTTGTTGGGTCTAAAATTATTATTTCGATGAGTTACAAACGGAATGACGAACTTAATATACCCTCCATACTTTATATTGTGAAGGGTATAAAAAGTACGAAAGGTACAAAATAGTAATAACTTTGGTATTTGGGGAAGAAATCGAGCTGGAAATCTGAAATTGCCTTTAATGTTGCGTAGGATATAATATCTAAAGGTGTTTTCGATATTTTAATAATACGTGTACCAAAGTGCTAAAAGCATTTGGAATTATGTGAACGGATAGTGATAAAATCTTGAAATTTGGTATGAGAATCAATTTTTGGAAATGGGGTTGATGTAACTGGTGGTTTTGGAAATGTGTAATAAGTACTAACCGTACCAAATGCAACTAAGTTTTATACAATTTCGTTTTGGGCAAACGGGAGAAGTTGGTAATTTGAAATGTAGATATTGAAATCCCTGTTGGTGGTAGGTGTGTGACAAAGAGGTTATTTTAAAAATGTGCACGAAAATAATAAAAAGTTGTATATTTAGTACATTTTGGTGCTTGAAATCTGAAATTTGATATTAGGGTAGGTATTCATGTATAGCCTGGACATATGGAGGTGGTTTCGGAAATGTTTACGATAATTATACGAAAAGTACTATATAGTACTAAATATGGTATTGTTTGAATGGATAGAGCTGAAGTCCCGAAATTTGATATTGAGGTCTCTGTAGATATCTGTAATAGACATACGAAGGTGGTTTTAGAAATATGTACTATAATTGTACGAAAAGTATTATATGCTAAACTAATTTGCTAATTTGGTATTAGTTGAAGGAATAGAAGCTGAAATCCTGAAATTTAATGTGGATGTCAATGTTGGTGTCTGTGGTTAAGATATGAAGGTGATTTTGGAAATTGTACGAAAATTCTCGAACGGTAATATATTTAGCTGTTCGAAAAGTGATAGTGAGTGAGCCGAAACCGTGACAATTTATGTTGCGAAAACTTTTGGTGTCTAGGATTGAGATACGGAACGATTTTGCAAATGAGTACTAAAGTTATACTAAAAGTGCTAAATGTTACTAAATTCGGTACTGAGTGAAGCGATAGAGGTTTTGCAAATGAGTACTATAAAGTATTAAATGGTACTAATTTTGGGTCACTGTTGGTGTCTTGGATGGAGAAATGTGGATTGTTTAGGATATGCGCACTAAATGTTACTAAATTTTGCATTAGGCGAATCCTGAAATTTGATATTGAAGACAAGGGCTCAGAGACGTTGAAATAATTCTGACAGCAAATTTGAATGTGATTCTATTGTGCAATGGTCTTACTAGTATCCTCCCCGGTTGAGTACAAAAAGGCCTAACACAAACTGTTGGAACGAATCTAATATTTTATTCTCCCATTTGTTTAGAATATTTTATTAACTTTTTAAATATATCACATTTTGAAAAAATCACTATCTAATTCAATTTACTTTCAGAATCTCCTGCAAGATGTCATGATATAAACATAAATATTCCCTTTTCCTAATAAACCAATAAAATATGCATCGAACCAAAAAGAGGTCAATAGTGACCTCTCTAAAACATACAGAACTCAGGTCAGCGATACCCAATAAAAGGAAACATCATAAGGTGCGATTAAAATTCGAAACGATCCTCATGGGACTCCGAAGCCTTAGTCGCATAGTAATACTGTTAGTATTAGTACAAAATGTTCAAGCCAATCGCCCGCCACGTTTCATTATTGAAGGTCAATCGGAGATTGTGCTGCGTTTGAAAGAGAGTCCAGAGACGGAAGTTGGTGAGTAAATAACACACATTTCGAATAAAATGGAGTAAAATTTCTAATACTTTTGTATTGTTTGTATTTTTCTGTTTCAGGTACCTTAATTTACACCCTCAAGGGCTATGATCCCGACAATGATCCCCTGACATTTGGCAAAAGGCCATCGGCCGACAGTGAAGTAATACGCATCGAAAACAAAGGTTCCAATGAGGCCTATGTTTATTTAGCCAAAGAATTGGATAGAGAAACTCAGGATGAATACTCAATAGTTTTAACGCTAACCGATAACCACTACAACGACTACAATTATGTGACTCAAAGTTTCCTGCTCTTGGTGGAAGATATCAATGATAATGCCCCAATATTTTTACCCTATCAAAGTGCTATTGAAATACCGGAAAATAGTGAACCTGGTATTATTACATCCCTAGAGGCCGTCGATGCCGATGAGGGAGCCTATGGTCAGGTGGTTTATTATTTGCAGGAATTGGAGGGCGACAACGATATGTTTGCCATTACCACAAATCAGGGCAAGGGGGTATTGAGTTTAAGCGGCCAATTGGATTATGAGAGTAAGGCCTTGTATCAATTAAGAGTCTTGGCAGTGGATCGTGCCAATCAGGGTCCAGTGAATACAGGGACGGCAGCTATTTTGATAAAAGTCAAAGATGTGGAAGATCAACCACCGGAATTTGTGAAAGTCCAGCCAGTGGCGAGAATAGCCGAAGATGCTCCTGTGGGAACGAGGGTAATGCGCGTCCTCTGTGTTGATGGAGATCGTGGTATTAATAATCCCATAGCCTATGAATTGGAATCGAATGAGTTGTTTGCCATTGAGCGTAACACGGGTTGGATATATACAATACGGGAGTTGGATCGTGAGGATCCCAGTAATCAAGTGAATGGAGCTTATATACTGAAAATCACTGCCAAAGAAATATCAAAGGTAAGAAGGAGAGAGTAGAGATAGTAGTTTTAAACGTGATATATTTTCTCTAATTTCTACTTTTTAGAATCCCCACGCATCGCCGCAATCGTCCCAGGTGAGAACAGAGGTAACCATTATTGTATCCGATGTCAACGATGAAATTCCCACCTTCGGAGAATCCATCTATCGCTGTGAGGTCAATGAAAATGCCCAATCAAATACTCCGCTGAATTTCATTGATGGAGACATTCGCCATTTTGTCTACGACCGAGATGTGGGTAATAATGGTACATTTCGTCTATTTCTGGACCCACCCAATGATCTCTTTGAAATCGTACCCGATATTGCTGTGAATGAGGCAAGCTTTATGATCCGTGTCAAAAATCCCAAAGCTCTCGATTATGAGCAGTTGAAGGAGATCAATTTCACGCTTTTTGCCCGAGAAGTCGATGAACCGAGTCGTTACTCCTCGGCTCATATACAAATTTTCATCAGAGATCAAAATGATAATTTTCCAGAGTTTTCCCAGAATATATACAATGTTTCACTGGCAGAGAATAGTGAAATTGGCACTACGGTGGCCAAAATTGAGGCCAGTGATGTGGATTCGGGTGACTATGGGACATTGGGTATAAGATATCTTAATCTGAGGGGTGGGATTGCCCATTTGTAAGTATTAACATGTTTGCCAAAAATCCAAAGATTCCATGACCTTATTTTCACAGATTGCATTTAAATCCCATAAACGGCGTGGTTACCATCAAACAATCCGGTGGTTCGGCATTTGATCGTGAAATCGTATCACGACATTACATGACCGTTGAAGCCATTGACAATCTTGGTCAGGGAAATCGCAACACTGCCCAATTAATAATTAACATTGAAGATCTAAACGACAATGCTCCCACATTTCTACAACGCCAGTATGAAACTACTCTACTGGAAAATAAACTAGAATTTGAACACCCCCTACAATTGGAGGCCCGTGACAATGACCTGAATGGCACAGAGAACAGTCAAATAACCTATGAAATTGTTGAGGGAATGTATCGTGCAAATTTCTCCATAGATCCAGAATTGGGTATTCTTCGGCCACTTAATTCCTTCGATTATGAACGTTTGGTAGAACATAAACCCCATCACCACCATCATCATCATTCACAGGAACAGAAAGCCGATAAGGGAGTTCGAGTTCTAGATTTAATGGTGAGGGCCCGTGATTCCGGCATCCCAATGTTATCGACCGTTGTCTCTGTACTCATCTATGTCCAAGATATCAATGATAATCCACCCATATTCCTGAAAAATTTCTATTCAAAAAGTATACCCGAAGATTTGGCAGGTGGTAGCTCTGTGCTGCAAGTCGCTGCCATAGATCGTGATGGCTCAGCACCAAATAATGTTATAGTTTATCGCATTCAATCGGGAGCCCAGGATAAATTTGTAATAAATTCGGAGTCGGGTATTATATCGGTGGCTCATGGTGCTAATTTGGATCCAGACTTAACGGAAAATAAAACAACTCAATACAGTCTGGCTGTGGTAAGTGATTTAGTCTTGATTTCATTTTTTTTGTTTCGAAATTCTGAACTATTATCCGAAAAGGGATATGTTTTGGCTTTTTAGAGTGTTAGAACATTTGAATGGTTAAGTTTGGGATCTTCGGCAATAATGCAGATAAGAATACACAATTACAGGGTGAGACAAAAAAACTGCAATAAATTCAAACGCCATAATTTCTACATTTTTTTTTTTAATTTTATTGAATGAAAGCAAAAAAATTTGGGAATAGCATCAAGTTCTAGAATAAGTTTAGATTTGTTCGAATTGGTCACCTACGGCACGAATTATGGTCTTCAAACGGCGAAACCGTCACACCGTCTGCGGTATTTTGGCCCATTCCCGGCGGAGCGCTTGCTTGAGTATTTTAGCTTTGGTATTTTTAGTGCCAACCTTGCTTTCCAAAATACTCCAGACACAATAGTCCAACGGATTGGTATCCCGAGATTTTGGTGGCCACCGTGCGCTGAAAATGAAGCGAGGAACCTCATTTTGTAACCATTCTTGGGTGGCGCGTGCTGAGTGCGAGGGTCCTGAGTCCTGTTGGAATGTCCAAGGTCCGCGGCCAAAATGTTTGCGTGCCCAAGGCTTTAATACACCCTCCAGAATATGTTCGCGATAATATTCGGCATTTATTCTGATGCCACGGTCGATTAATTCGAGCGGAGAGCGAACATCGGCTGTTATGGCGGCCCACACCATCACCATGGTCGTCGCTTAAGTTCTGGTGGCCAACCGAAGGTGCACATTTTCAGCTGACCTCTTTGGCAAGTAAACACGATCATTTTGTTTGTTTACAAACTGCTGGACAACGAATGTTTTCTCATCGGAGAAAACCAAATTCGACAGTTCACCACTTTCAGCCAAGCGAAGCAACTCTTTAGCTCTTTTGAGTCTATTTTCTTTTTTTTTCTTTTTTTTTTAATTTCAATGGCTTGACCCCGAGCTCATTTTTCAATGTTTGACGAATGGAATATTGCGATATGTTCAGCTCACGAGCCATTTTTCGGCCACAGCGACGCGGGTTTCGATCAAATCGTTTCTTTACTTTTCGAACCATTTTTGCTGATATTGCTGTTCTTCCGTGTCCACTTCCTTACCAGTATCACGGTAACGAGCGATAGTACGAGACACAAACGATTTATTCATATTTGAATGCTGGAGTGCTCTAATGATAACCACTTGTGTTTTCCAGCCAAAAATAAAGAAATCACACTATCACGCTTGAATTCCATCACGAATAACTTTTTTCTGGAAAATTCTCACCAAAATACTTTTGTACGCTCTAAACAATATTAGCTGTCACTGGAATAATTTTAACAGCTGTCGGACGAGTGGCTTAGAAATGACAGCAGTCTGAAGTTGGTTGCAGTTTTTTCATCTCACCCTGTATAATCTGAAAAGGGATATGTTTTTGCTTTTTTAGAATGTTAGAACATTTAAAAGGTTAAGTTCGGGAATCTATTCATGATACTATTACTAATGATCTTCTTCATATTAAAAGTTTTAAACTGTCGCCACTTTCGAAAAGTCAATAACTAAAATTTAAAATTTCTTTTCAGCTTGCCATTGATGGAGGCATTGGAAATTCCCAGCTCATGAATACGGCCACCGTTAATATAACCATTAAAGATGTGAACAACAAATTACCAATTCTTGCAGAGTTACCAACAATACAAATTATTGAAAATACCCCGGTGGGGACGCAAATCTACAAAATCGTAGCCAATGACTCCGACGAGAACCCGATAATACGTTATAAAATTAATGCCCACAATTCGGAGGCACGTAACGAGGAGGGTACGATAGTAAAACAAAGTGAATACGATTATATATCCATATTTGATTTGGATCCCATTGATGGCACCCTACAACTGATGAAATTAATTGATCGGGAACGTGTCGAACATATAAAACTGGCTATTGTTGTGGAGGATTTGGCTGCTGCCAAGGGACGGCAGGTGGTGGAAAGTTTCTTGACCATACAGGTGGCCGATGAAAATGATAATAATCCGAAATTCAAACAGCCATTCTATAAGAAATCCATAACTGAGAATAGTATGAATGGTGTGTTGATTGCCAATGTGATTGCCTATGATATTGATAAGAATCGTACCATAACCTATAGTTTGGAGGGTAACCCCTTGATACGACAAATGATCCATATGGATTCACATACCGGAGAAATTGTGGTGGCCAATAAAATCGATCATGAACAATATCAATGGTTGAATTTTTCGGTGAGAGCCACCGATTCTGGGGTACCGCCAAGATCTTCACTGGTCGATGTGTTCGTCTCGGTCCTAGATGAAAACGATAATAATCCATATTTTATTGGTGGCTCAAAAAATTACAGTATTAGTGAATCGGCGGTGGTGGGCACTCGAATTGGTACCATACAAGCGGCCGATGCTGATTCTGGGGATTTTGGAAAAATCACATTTCTAATGGATCGCATAAGTTCTCAGGGCAAATTTTCCATTGATGCTGATACGGGTGTTTTGAGTGTCATCGACAAATTAGATCGAGAGGCAAAGGATTTCTATATGCTGGTCATTGAGGCGTGGGATAATTATCAATTCGGATTTTTGGCTGGTGAAAGTCGTAATGCATTCAAGCAGGTTTTGTAAGTATTTGAATTGTTGGAAATTAAATTTGGTATTTATAAGTTATAATTAAATCGAATTTTAGTATTACAATTTTGGATGAAAATGACAATGTTCCCGAGGTATCTATGCCCTCATCGTGTGTTTTGATAACCGAATATCATGAATTGAATGAAAAAATCGCCATCATCAAAGGCAAAGATGCCGATGATCCTCAAACACCAAACGGAAGATTGGAATTTAAAATAACCAAAGGAAATCAAGAGGGTAAGTTGAAGGTTAGAGCAGTTAAGTGATCTTTAATTCTCAAATGTATGTAACAATTAAATTTCGGATGGAACATATATGATCTAGCAAAGCATCATAATAACCGATATGACCCATTCTCTGTACCAATGATTCAGAATGTATCCAAACATTTATATTAAACTCCAAAGCTGTATCCAAAATATCGTGAAATATCTCTCAAACTATAGGTGAATTGCAAATGGGATAGGTGGAATTAAAAGATCGACACGGCCGAACTTATAGCTTTTTTACTTGTTGTTAATAAAATCCCTTATTTATTTCTGAAATAATTTAACACGTGTCCTATCCGAGTCTTCTTACATAATATGTACCATAAAAATGTCTCCAATGTGACCCCTTGTTTATTTTTAAACAATTGTTTTCCTGTTAACTATAGGGGAAATTGCAATTGGGATAGGTGGAATTAAAATATCGACACGGCCAAACTTACAGATTTTTTACTATATTTTTTAAAAAATAAACAAGGGGTCACATTGGAGACATTTTTTATGGTACATATTAAGTAAGGAGATTCTGACTCGGATTGGACACGTGTTAAATTATTTCAGAAATAAATAAGGGATTTTCCAGAAATAAATAAGGGATTTTATTAACAACAAGTAAAAAAGCTGTAAGTTCGGCCGGGCCGATCTTTTAATTCCCTCTACCATTTGGAACGATTTTGACAATTTTCAAGAAAATAAAATCCGTTAAAATTCAGTTCAAATCTTAAAAATACTGAATGTAGCCGTTATATTATGGACTATACAACGATGTGGACCTGTATAGGCAACTTTTGTCATAAACCATTACAATATTCAAATGCGAAACTTGAATAAAAAAATTCGGTGAATAATGTAGCTAAAATCATCAAAATTCCGAGTATAGGGAGGTACCGTTATGTTGGGGCTATACGAAGATGTGGACCTGCACAGACAATTTTCTGTCATAGGCTGTAGTACCAATCACGAACTTCAAACAACAAATTTGAAACAATTCTGGTGAATAATATCGCTAAAATCATCAAAATACTGAATATCGGCAGTTACCGTTATATGGGGGATATACGAAGACGTGTACCTGCACAGACAATTTTCTGTCTTAGGCTGTAGTATTCATTACGAACTTCAAACATCAAATTTTAAACAATTCCGGTGAATAATGTCGCTAAAATCATTAAAATACTGAATATCGCGGGGTGCCGTTATTAGGTTGTATCATCCCTTACGAACTTTAAATACCAAATTTGAAACAATTTCGGTAAATAATGTCGCTAAAATTATCAAAATACCGAATATCAGGGGTACAGTTATATAGGGGCTATATGAAGACGTGGACCTACACAGACAATTTTCTGTCATAGGCTGTAGTACTTATTGCGAACTTCAAATGCCAAATTTGCAACATTTCCGGTGAATAATGTCCCTTAAATCACCAAAGTACCGAAAAAAGGGAGGTACCATTGTATGGGGGCTATACCAAAACGTGGACCTACATCACCCATTTTCAATACCAAAAGTCCTGCAGGCATAATACACATTTGAGTAAAATTTTATTAGCCTACCTCATTTCGTTCGGAAGCTAGAGTGATTTCCACAGACGGACAGACCGACGGACATCGCTAAATCGACATAGACTTTTATGCTGATTAAGAATATATATACTTGGTGAGGTCTAAAATGTATACTTCGAAGTGTTACAAACGGAATGACAAACTTAATATACCATACTTTGGTGGAGGGTGTAAAAATGGATGCATTTTTTAATGGTGAATATAAGGTATACAAATTTCTTTTGTTCATAGATTCAGAATGAAATTTGCTCTACAATAATTCTTTCTTTGACAAAAAATGAAGTATAAAGGGAGATTTCGATTCGGATTGGACACGTGTTAAATTAACAGCAAAAAACAAGCATTGATACAAAATTCTTTTGGCATACATAGTAAAATTACATAAAGAATATTTTTGTCTTTAACGTCATCCTTCCAAAATGATACTTTGTTGGAGATTTTTCCACAAAGCGCACAAAGTACGCCTTTAACCCTAAATTGTGTTTTTCATTTTTATGAATTCCTTTAACATTTAGACTCTTTACGTCTCCTAGGACCTATAGTAGAAGTTTATGACAAAGCCAGAAAGAATGAAAAGTACAATATTTTGATTTGCTATGGTCCCGTTTAAAGGGAGTAAATAATCATATTTTAAAAAAAGGACCAAAAAGACCCCTTTGCTGAGGGTTAAAATATTCGGACAAAATAATCCTCGTATTTTTTTCTGCAATATTGCCGAAGATACTTTATGCCTAAAATGCGCGGATTCCGAGGAATCTTAATCCGAAAATTATCAAAAGTGTGGAATAGGGGGGAACTTGCCCCTTCATGCCTCTTTTTAACCTTTACTTTCATAATATGCTTAATATTTTCATTAATTATTGAAAATTTTGAATTTTGTCGCACAGTGCGGATCCACTATAGTTGAAAAACTATTTTCACTTTCTCTTTTTCCCTCCTCTCTTTGCATAGATTTATTTGAACTGCGACAGATTGATGCCTGGAATGCACACATTTATGCCCGAACATCTTTACGCAATCGTTATGGGAATCATTCGCTGACAATAACGACACGCGATTTGGGTGCACCACCAAATATCGTTACCAAAATACTCGACATTTGTATATCCGATTTTAATGATCATGCTCCAGTGTTTATACAACCGCTACACAATACAACGGTGCGAGTTCCAGAAAATGCCACAGTGGGTTCACTAATACTCCAGGTAATGGCCACCGATGAGGATATTGGTATGAATGCTTTGGTCCACTATCGCCTTAAACCTGATCCCCTGGGTAGTTATAAACTCTTCGAATTGGATTCGGAAACGGGACATTTATTTTTGAAAGAACCACTGGATCGTGATAAGCAGAAGATTCATGAGGTAAATAAATAAAATTGTGCTATTTGATATGTATTATTTTATTCTTTTTGTTATTTTTAGATACGCATCGAGGCCTATGATCAGGGTTTGCCGACCTCCTTGAGCACCGATTTGGATTTGACCATTTACATACGTAATGTAAATGAATATGAGCCACAATTTATTGTAGATGAAATTGCTGTCAATTTTACTGGTAAGTTAGAATGATTCTGAAAAGCTTTCGTGGAATCCAGGGAAATTTCTGTAAAAACCCTTTTGGGTCTTTATTTTACATGGATCTACACAGACCCTACATAAAACATGTATTTTTACGTGTCCTTCCTTCAAATGGAAACGTTAGTTCAGACAATTATGGATTGAGAACACTAACCGTTGTTAAATCTCCTCTGTCTCTCCTTAGTAGTTTGAATTGTGTTGACTCTCTTATTCGTGCACGTTTTTTTAATTTATCTCTCAAACCAACATGTTTCAAAAAGGTCAGATGAAGAGAGATTGTCTTCAGTTTCGGTCTCTTAATTTAACGATAGATAGACAGAGTTCCGGCTGGAATACCATAAAACAATTTTTTTAAGTATCCTTCCTTTATTTGGAAACGTTGATCAATTATGGATAACACTAATCAATATATTTCCTCTGTCTGGGCTGTTCGAATTGTAGTGACTCTCTTAGTATTGAAACTTTTGTATTTGTCTCTTAAAACAGCTGTTCCAAAAAGTCAGATAAAGAGAGATTGTCATTCTTTAGTTGACCTATTCTAGCGATTCTATCCATCCCTTCCCATGACCCATCAGATTCCAACACCACATAATTTCACCTATAATTTATATTTTCAGAACATGCTGATCCTGGCGCGGAACGAGTCAAACTTCCTGACACCATTGATAAAGATGAAGTCGACGATCTAGATGATCCTCCTAGTCAGGTGTGTTATTTCATTGTGAAAGGGAATGATGAAGAAAATTTCCATTTGGATCCCGAGACACATATTTTGACAACCCAAAAACAATTGGATCGAGAAGTTCAAGCATTCTATAATCTATATGTTAAGGCAACGGAAAATTGCAATGAACCGGGAACAGATTTCGATGTGGCCTCCAACAAAAAATTAGACATTGATATAGATTATGAACCTACGAGGCCACACAATCGACGACAAGGAGGTTTTCTTCGTAACAAAGAAGGTTACGATCGTTACAAACATTCAAGAAATTTACGATCTATTGGAAATGTGACCGACGTCGGCGGCAGTAGCAGCAGCAGTGAGGAACTATTGATGACGGATAGCACCGTTGTCAGGGTGCGGGTACACGTTTTGGACATCAACGATAATCCACCAAAATTTCGTTCGAAAATTTTTACGGGTGGCATAACAACAAGTGCTGATTTTGGCACACGATTTATGCGCGTCGAAGCTGAGGATTTGGACGAGGGACCAAATGCCATAATTAACTATTATCAAGTGGGTGAAATAAGACAAACCCTATCAGAGGGTTTGGAAAATATACGCGCCTCACCATTTCTTGTGGATCAGCAGACGGGAGAAATCCAGCTAAATTTTGATCCACAAAAAGGCATGAAAGGTTATTTTGATTTTATGGTCCTTGCCAATGACACAGTAGGCATGAAAGATGTGGCCCATGTTTTTATCTACCTCCTGAGGGAAGACCAAAAAGTTCGCTTTGTATTTCGTCTCCAACCAAATGAGTTGAGGGATAAAATACAAATGTTTAGAGAGTGAGTATTGTCCGTAAGTGCGGATAAACATAAAAAATCTAATTTTATTTTATTTTTTGCTCCACAGAAATCTTAGCAACATCACAGACACCATAGTCAACATAGATGAGATTAAAGTCCATGAGAACAAAGATGGTTCCGTGGATAAAACCAAAACGGACTTGTATATGCATTTGGTGGGCAAAGAAGATAATTCCATTTACGAAGTAGCCGACGTCTTAAATCTCATCGATACTCATATAGAACATTTGAATGGTCTATTCAAGGATTTGAACGTGTTAGATACACAGCCTGCTGAGGCCCAGTTATTGCAGGCTGGTCAACAAGCAAATGCCATGTATATTTGGTTGGTTTTTACAAATCTCTTTTTGGCCACACTGCTGGTTGTTACCTTGGGTTTGTGCGCTTCTCAACGCAGTGGCTATAAACGTCAGTTAAGGGCGGCTAAAGTCAATATTTTTCGTAAGTAAAATTTTTGAAATACATTTTAATTTTTCTTCGTCTTATTTCGAAATTCATCTAATTCCAGCAAAAAGCAAATCTAATTAAATATTTACGTCTTCTTTTTTTCAGGTAACTCTTCACTATCTTTACAAAATCCTCATGAACCCACGACACGTGTACCAAATACCAACAAGCACAGTGTGCAAGGCTCTAATCCCATTTGGTTAAAGGGTTATGAAAATGAATGGTTTAAAACCGATGAAAATTTAAGGTATTTTGGATATAACCTTTTAAAAATCTTGTAATTGTAATGATTTTTATTTTCACTAGTCAAAGTGGTCACGATAGTTTGGACGATAATTTCCTAGCTGTGGGTACACCAAATATTCAAGAAACTCTAAAGGGCACGGCAAAGCTTTTTAATCACACAAACGATTTGAATCGTCACTTTAATGTTTACAATCAAATCGATAAATTAACAAATAATGCTCAAATACTTGCAAGGAAATTGGAAACAACTGAATTATAAGGGGTGCAAAGTCTATAATCTATAGTTTTAAGACGATTAGTTTAGGTTATTTATTTATTAAGTTAAGTAATATATTTTTGTAAATAAAGAAAAACTTTTTATACATACCAATGGTGTCTCCAACGATTTTTATTAAACTTATCATTTATTCCCTATCAAAACAATAGAATGGAATTCTGTAAGTAATCAATTTAATATATTTTGTAGACACTATTTCATATTTACTCCTAACAGACTCATTGTTGAAACATTACAAATAGTTTTTGATAGGGTTAACAATTCAATAACCAGGAAAAAAATGCAAACGTCGGGCAGCCCGACTGCAAGATACCCTACACCACTATACATGCTTAGTATAGCTACTCATAACGAATAAACGTTTATATTGAGAGCCATATTCATCGATCTCGACAAAATTTGATAGAGGTATCTGTGAAGTGTATTTCACGGATGTGAGGGTCTAAAATACCAAATCGGATGACACATATTTATTGAAGCTATAGCTGTGTATCTGAACCAATTTTCATTAAATTTGGCACGCTTGCTTTTTTCATTAAATTTGACACTAGGTCGCAGTTACCAAAATCCACTCATATATATCGTTATGTCCAAAGCTGTTTTAAAATCTGAACCCATCTCGACAATATCTGTAAAAGCTATTCCTAACCGATGTTGGATATCTTGTACCGAAAAATCATTGTTACTCCACATCACGCTTATGAAGGACTTATAAAAATCAGATGACACATACAGGGTGAGATAAAAAAACTGCAACAAAGTCAAACGGCATAATTTGACGGCGCGAATTATGGCCTTCAAAGGGCCAATGCAATTGTCACACGCTGAACGAAAGTTGGTCTGCGGTATTTTGACCCACTCCCGGCGAACCGCTTGCTTAGACTTTGGTATTTTTTAGTGCCAACCTTGCTTTCTAAAATAGACACATAGTCCAACGGATTGGTATCCGGAGATTTTGGTAGCCATTGTGCCTGTTGGAATGTCCAAGGTTTGCGGCCAAAATGTTTGCGTGGTTTTAATACACCCTCCAGAATAATTTCGTGATAATATTCGGCATTTATTCTGATGCCACGGTCGATTAATACGAGCGGAGCGCGACCATCGGCTGTTATGGCGGCCCACACCATCACCATGGCCGGCGCTTGAGTTCTGGTGGCCAACCGAAGTTGCACATTTTCAGCTGACCTCTTTGGCAAGTAAACACGATCATTTTGTTTGATTACAAACTGCTGGACAACGAATGCTTTCTCATCGGAGAAAACCATTTTGCTGTTTTCTTCTGTCCACTTCCTTGACGTCGGGCTAGGCCATCATCGCGGTAACGAGCGATGTTACGAAACACAAAAGATTAATTCCGATTTAAATACCGGAATGCTCTAACGAGTGCCACTTGTGGTTTTCCAGCCAAATATAAAGAAATCACACTATCACACCTAAATTGCATCACGAATAACTTTGTTTCTGGAATATTCTCACCAAAATGCTTTTGTACGCTTGTAAGCAATATAATGAGCTGTCACTGGAATAATTTAACAGCTGTCGGACGAGTGGCTTAGAAATGACAGCAGTCTGAAGTTGGTTGCAGTTTTTTCATTTCACCCTGTATATGGGTGCTATAGCTATATCTTCAGCGATTTTCAGCCATTTTGATACCTTATTCTCTACATTCGGCCGCATGTCCCAAAATCCATTTTATTTGGATTAATATTAAACATTTGGTGCACAATAGCATTTTAATCGGACGTAGATACATATGGGAGCTGTGTATAAATTTGGCCCGATTATCACCAATTTCAATAGGGTTAGTCATTGCGCCAAACGTACGATTTGTGGAAAATTTCATTCCAATCGGACAATAAGTGCGATATGTACTTTTTTTCACAAATATACGTGTACAGACGAACGACAGACATGCATAAATCGACTCAGAATGTGATTCTGTAAGTATTATCAAAAGGAACTATGGGTCTATCTGATATCCTTTTGTATGTTACAAACAAATGCACAAAGACATAATACCCTTATCCCAACGTGGTGTAGAGTATAAAAATTAAACCACGGCTATGTTTTCGTTAAATATTTTGTTTTATTTAGTTTATTTCTAAAGTTTTCTTATGATTTTCCTTGTTGTTAATTTACACTCAATTATGTATTGTATAAAATAAATGAAAGGGGTATTTCCATTATTCAATTAAGCATTTCTTGTAATACACAAATTAATTCATATTAATATTTAGCGAAATGCTTAATTTTGTTCGCAAAAACTCCTAAATATTTTAATGTATTCTGAATGTACTTCCATTTCCACAATGGAATAATTGTTCATTAAAAAATAAGTTTTTTTTTTAGCTAAATAAAAAATGGTTTATGTGTGTGTTTGTTGCCTCTTTTTTCAATGACGAATTACAAGTCTAAATCAAATCAGCAACATTCATTGGCATTTCATCGATTTGTGTTGAATAGTACTGTTCAATATCACGCAAAATACGAATATCATCGGATTTAACGAAATTAATTGCAACACCCTTACGTCCGAAACGACCCGAACGACCAATACGATGAATGTACAATTCACGATTGTTGGGTAAATCGTAGTTAATAACCAATGAAACCTGTTGCACATCAATACCACGTGCCCATACATCGGTGGTAATGAGTACACGCGACTGACCGGCACGGAATTCTTTCATAATTTCATCACGTTCCTTTTGTGGCATATCACCATGCATAGAGCTGACGGTGAAATTTGCTTCACGCATTTTCTCGGTCAACCAATCGACCTTACGTTTTGTATTGCAGAAGATGACAGCCTGTGTAATGGTTAGGGTATCGTATAGATCGCACAATGTATCGAATTTCCATTCTTCACGTTCAACAGCAACGAAAAATTGTTTGATACCTTCCAGAGTCAATTCATCACTGAAAAAATAAGGAAACACAAAAAATTAGTTTGGACATATATGAAAAATGTTAAATACGGAGTTAAGATCGGAGAAGCAGATCAACCTTTAAAAATACATAAAGCGTTACCCTGGCTAAATGTAAAAAAAGGATCCCTTGGTCACTGTTTGTAAAGTCTCTAGCCAGTAAAAATGAAGGAATATGAATTAGACATTTTTTAGGAAACATTGTGTTGTCAAGCTTTCCTTAAGTGGAAAGCTTAAAAGCATTTGTAAGAGTTACAATAGACGGTAGATGGAAAACGATTGCAAGGTTTATAAGCCATCTGACCATTGATATAGCGAAGAAGGACATTTTCCATTAAAAATGGGTCGACAATAGTTACAATATTATAGTCTATGTCATATATCATAAAAGGCATATATTCTTTCCTCTGTCCAAATGTCCTCGTGGTCTGGAAAATGTACCATTTTGTCCGTTTTAAAATAGTGCACTGTCGAAATTTTCTTAAACTTGATAAATGTACCGATTCTTTCGATTTTGACATTGTCTTTGCTGACCTTCCATAGGTAACACGCTTTTTCTTTTTGCTATTCTATGTCAAAACATTCATAGGTATTCAGAATGAAAAAGTGGAACAGTGTTTTTCAAGTGAATTGATTTTAGTTCAGATGGTCTTACTTCATTTAGCCAAATCATTCTCCAGCTGTATTTTTATCTTGAAGCAACTTGAAAACTAAAGGTGGGAATACATAAAGCGCTTATCTGGCTGGCTTAAGTCATCGACTGGCTTCTTCGGAAATGAACAAAGAAGCCTAGGGCCAACATCGAACTAAGATAACCTAAAACTCCTTTGTTCATCTACGAAGAAGCCAGCCAATATGCGCTTCATGTATTTCCATCCTAACTTCAGACATACCTGGAAACATGCAGTGAATTAGAAAATTTTAATACATTGGCAATTTTGCTTTCTGTACTCTCCTACACTCCTATATTGTTTAACAATTTTGTCCAGTAGTATCTTTATGATCAATCAACCACTCTTGTTTGTAGTTAGGACGTATCCGGCATTACAAAAGATTATATCTTACCGTTTGACCAAAATTCTTATGGGATCTGTCATAAATTTCGAAGTCATCTCAAGAATTTCATGTGGCAGAGTAGCAGATATTAGGACGACCTGTGTTGCTGGTGGTAGATAACGATAAACGTCATAGATTTGTTCTTTAAAACCCTTGTTCAACATTTCATCAGCTTCGTCGAGGACCAACATTTTAATAGCACGGGTGCGCAGAACTCGCCTCTTAATCATATCAAATACACGTCCCGGTGTACCACTGACAATGTGTTGACCATAATCCAGCTTGCGAATATCTTCACCCAAATTTGTTCCACCAATGCAAACATGACACTGGACATTCATTAAATCGCCCAAGGCTAAGATGACTTTTTGAATTTGAACAGCCAATTCACGGGTGGGCGATAGACAGAGCACCTGAGTTTCTCGCAGCGATGTGTCGAGACTCTGTAATATAGATATGGAAAATGTCGCCGTTTTACCGGTACCAGATTGAGCCTGAGCAATGACATCCCGCCCTTTGACAATGGGCTTAATACTACGTTGTTGTATAGCAGAGGGTTTCTCAAAACCTATAAAAGGAAATAGTTATAATTGCTTTTTGGTTTTCATGTGGCGCCTGGTGATTCTTACCGTAAGCATATATGCCTCTGAGTAATTCCTCTTTAAGGTTCATAGCATTGAAACTGGGTATGACCTCCACATCTTCGCTGGTCTCAAATTCCACATTCGACAAGTCCTCAGCGGTTGGAGCTCCCTTACGTGCCATTTTTATAGTTTATTTGTTGTTCAAACGTATGGTCAAAACAAATGTGGTCTTCGTTTCTAATTTAAGCTAATTATTTCGTTTTAAGAACAAAAACAAATGTGAAGCCACGAAAGAAAGTTACAATGTGTGTATTGTCGTGGGCACAACAGGGTTGTATTTTTAACAGGGTAACATATCTACTTCAACATGTGGTAAAACTCTACTATGTTAAAACAGACTATTTGTTCTCTAATTAATAAATAATAATAGCATACATCATGAAGTTCCAAATTAAATATCTCAAAACATCAGCAGATATAACATTTAAAAGAATAATCGTCGAAAAATATAAAAATACAATATAGACTTTTACTAATCGAGATCATTGAAGTGGTCTGTTCCAGAACTGCAAGATTGTAAAACTTTTTACTACAATAACCGATTTTATTAAGATATCGAAAAAAAATTGAACAACTTGTAGGTTCTGGAAAAGAGCAAAATGTTTCATGCAAAGGTTATTTATGTCTCAAAGAGGTTGAATATATCAGTAATTGAATATCTTCATTTGTTTCATTTGACTTGGTAATTCGTGAAATCAAAATATTTCAAACTCTTTTCGTCAAATAATTCAACACGTTTAAACAACAAGTGAATCAAACATTGTCATAAAAAATAAGTTAAAGTATTATTTAAACAGAATCGATTATAATAAAACTTATTTAAATGGTCTAAATTTAATTAATTCTCATGTTTTGTAAAAATATAACCAATATTAAAGATTGTAGGGAATAAAGTGTTTATAAATATGATATATTTTATATTATACAGAAGCATAATCTTCTTGTTTATCTCTCAATTAAACCTTCTTACCATCTCTTTTCTTTATAATCTGTTTGCTTTATAAAAAAATAAGACAATTAAAACACTAATATAATGCACTCAGTCTTGCATTGAATATTGTATAAGTTGTAGATAGCGAATATAATTAATTTTTTTAAATTCTTAGTGCCGTGAAGAAAAATCCTCCTTGATCTTCTTTATAAACGTTTTCATTTCACATTTTCATGTCTAGAGAGAAAATAGGCGAAAATTAGTAAAAATGATAAAATTTTGTGCCGATTTTTCAAAAATAATACGTTCGTAATCTTTGTTAGAAATTATTAGAATATAATATGGGTTTTTGCAAATAAATGCTAAAAAATCACAACATCGACCTATACATTTGTTAATATAAAAATTATATATATTAAAATAAGACTGAAAATCGAAAATCTACAGTTAAATTTTAACCTTCAATTGAAGATAGCTTAGCATAAGATGTTATCGACCCCATTAGAATATACCTTTATCCGTTATCAATGGACAAAAAATAGTATATTATGAAACACTCTACTAACGACAAACGCCAACATCTTCCATTGTGTTTCAATTCTTATCAACACTGAAAAGTAATTGGTAAACTATAAAGTAATCGCCAACATAACAACACGACTACTACAAATTTGTATCTTTGCTCTGAACATCGGTCTCAACTATGGATGAGCGAAGCGACGTTTTTATTATTGAGAAAATGGCAATTGAATTCAAATCGTGCGGATACGTTGCGGACGACTCAAGTGATTTAATTAAAGTGACAAAGTGAACCAATCAACAAATTGAACATTTCAAAAGTTGTTAAGTGTCAAGAGAAGTGCTAGACAAATAAGTTGCAACACTTTTAGAATGGATGTGGCAGTAAAAACAGGTAATTTTGCAAAATTAATTAAGACCATCAACATGGACCCCCTCGTTCATGACGATTCGACAAATGGCGACTATCGAGAATTTGTAGATTTTCGATTTTTGTTGCTGCGCTTTTTTGTTTTGCTTATTTATACGTATTCCGACGTAGTTTTGTCGCTTAGCTGTCAGTTTATTTTTGTTCTTAAGGGTTGCCGTTGTTCTCGACCATGAAGGGGAGCAAGATGACATTTGTTGAATGGTTGTTTTTATAACGTAAGTTGGCAAGAGTTGTAACGAAATAAAAGCGGAAAACGATTGGCGACGGGTTAACGTTTTTAAGTACCCCCCATGGTAGAAGAATATAGGTAGAGCATCAACGCTTGGGAACATTGATTTGTCAAAATTTTTAAAATGTTTTGTAAAAAATTAGTAATTTTTTATGATTTCTTATACGACGCGAATCGGAGGTTGTTATGATATGTGTTTTTCAACAATTTGTGCAAATTTCAATAATTTTTCAATTTCAAAATCGGTTTGACAGTTCATTGTCCCAGCAGCTGTGTCGATGCGACTACCTGTATTCTTCTACCATGGTACCCCCCATCGTGTATCGACTGCAAGGTAGGGCATATTTATCTACTCATTTCAAGTTTTTATGCCCTCTATCATACTGTGGAGGGTATATTAAATTCGTCATTCCGTTTGTAACTCCTCGATATACTTATCGCATCGACACAGCTTCTGGGACAATGAACTGTCAAAACAATTTTGAAAATGAAAATTTTTAATAAATAATTATTCAAATTCGTTAAAATTGTTTGAAAAATACATTCCATAATAACCTCTGATTGGCGTCGTAAAGGAAAACATATAAAAATCTACTTATTAAAAAAAAAAAAACATTTTAAAAATGTTGACATATCGATGTCCGCTATTTCGCACTTATTTGCAACAGCCCCATATAACGGTACCTTCCGATATTCGGTATTTTGATGATTTTAACGACATTTTCACTGGAATTGTTCGTATTTGAAGTTCGCAATGGGTACTACAAAATACGAATATTAAGAGGATCCGTTATATGGGAGCTATAGGAAAACGTGATCCTCATAGTATGGTTGAGGGTATAAAAAATGTGGGTGTATTGAGTAATACGTGCACGTATTAGTGTACTAAGCATTTTGTCATAGTGGGTAAGTTCAAATTTTTTTACACAACGTCGGATTTTAGGTAGCCCTGTTATAGAAAATATGTTAACATTGTCAAATTTTCAATATCAGCGGACTTCAAACTTTTTTCTTGAAGTTATTATATGTTTTAAGAATAATATTAAAGATGTATGTCCGAATTTCCTCGAGTTGTGTAATATCACAAACTGGCTAAATTTTCAAAAAAAAAAAAAAATTGAAAACAGTTAATTGACACTTATATATTGTGAAATACACAATGATCCGAACTGTAACAGGGTTATTTAGAGTAATGTATAGATCCTATTTGAATTATGTTTATGAATAAACGTTTCCGTACATTTTTAACGGTAGGACTGGTAAAAGAGAGAAATTTCACTGGAAAAATTATGGAGTAAAGTTTTGTAAACAATTTTATGACATGTTGTATTAACATGTTTCAGATGGCCTATAAAATTTAAAATTTTTAGTGAATGTTGTATTTTTACCTTTTATAATGTTTCGATAATAAGAAGAACAAGTAAAAAAGCAGTAAGTTCGGCCAGGCCGAACTTTGAATACCCTCCACCATTTGGAACGAATTAAAACATTTTGAAAAAAATAAAATCCTTTTAAAATCTTTAAAATATCTAATATAAGAAGTTGCCGATATATGGGGGATATACGATATGGTGGACCTATAAAGACAAATCTATGTCTGCGTGTAAAGTACTCATAAGGAAATCCTTGTGTGGATTTTCAGATAATTCCATTGGAAAAATTGGCTAAACTCATCAAAATACCGAATATAGGTGAGTACCGTTATATGAGGGCTATACGATATCGTGGACCTATATAGATAATTCTCTGCCGAGGTATAAAGTACCCACAAGGAACTCCTTCTCCTTTCAGACAATTCCGATGAAAAATGTAGGTAAAATCATAAAAATACCGATTATCGGGGGGTACCGTTATATGGGGGACATACGATATCGTGGACCTGTGTAGGCATTTCTCTCTCAGGGGGTGAAGTACTCACAAGGAGCTACTTGTGTGGGTTTTAAGACAATTCCATTGAAAAGTGTGGCTAACATCATCAAAATGCCGAATATCGGGGGGTACAGTTATATGGGGGATATACGATATCGTAAACTTATATAGACAATTCTTTTTGAGGGGGTAAAATGCCCACAAGGAACTCCTTGCGTGGATTTTCAGACAATTCCCTTGAAAAATGTGGGTAAAATCATCAAAATACCGAATATCGGGGGGTACCATTATATGGGGGATGCACGATATCGTGGACCTGTATAGACAATTCTCTCTCAGGGGTTAAAGTACTCACAAGGAACTACTTGTGTGGATTTTAAGACAATTCCATTGAAAAATGTGGCTAACATCATCAAAATACCGAATATCGGGGGTACAGTTATATGGGGGATATACGATATCGTGGACCTATATAAACAATTCTTTTTGAGGGGGTAAAATGACCACAAGGAACTCCTTGTGTGGATTTTCCGACAATTCCATTGAAAAATGTGGCTAACATCATCAAAATACCGAATATCGGGGGTACCGTTATATGGGGGCTATACGATATCATGGACCCATATAGCTCATCTTCGAACTTGACAAAAGAGAGATCTGTGCAAAATTTTAGCTTCCTATCTTAATTCGTTTAGACTGTAGCGTGATTACAACAGACGGACAGACGGACGGACAGGGCTAAATCGTCTTAGAATTTTACGCTGATCAAGAATATATATACTTTGTTGGGTCCAAAATGATTATTTCGATGAGTTACAAACGGAATGACGAACTTAATATACCCTCCATACTTTTTTGGTGGAGGGTATAAAAATAAAATATGGCGTCGCGTGTGCAGACACTATTTCGCGACATTCATCGGATGAAACATGTAAACTATCCACGAATTGAAACAGAAATAAGACTTATTCTATCTGAGGACAATAAAACACTGTGGCGCAGTGGTAAGCATGCCAGCTTTGTTCTCTGAACACCAGAGTTCGATTCCTAAGCCAGACATCACATTTTAAATACGAAAACAAGTAAAAAAGCTATAAGTTCGGTCGGGCCGAACTTTTAATACTCTCCACCACTTGAAACGAATTTGGCAATTTTCAAAAAATAAAATCCGTTAAAAATTCTGTTAAAATCTTAAAAATACCGAATGTAGCCGTTATATTAGGGTCTATACGACAACGTGGACATGCATCATAAAAATAATCAAAATACCGAATATAAAGATATACCGAATATAATAATATGGAGCTATATCAAAACGTGGACCTGCACGGACCATAGGCTGTAGTATCCATTACCAACTTCAAATACCAAATTTGAAGCAATTCCGGTTAATAATGTCACTAAAATCATCAAAATACCAAATAACGTTATATGGGGGCTATACGATGACGTGGACCTGCAGAGACAATTTTCTGTCATGGGCTGTAGTATCCATTACAAACTTCAAATACCAAATTAGAAGCAGTTCCGGTTAAAATTATCAAAATACCACCGAATATCGAAGGTACCGTTATATGGGGGCTATACGAAGGCGTGGATCTGCACAGATACTTTTCTTTCTCAGACTGTAGCATCCATTACGGACTTCTAATACCAAATTTGAAACAATTCCGGTGAGTAATGTCGCTAAAATCATCAAAATACAGAATATCGGGAGGTATCGTTATATGGGGCCTATATGAAGACGTGGACCTGCGCAGACAATTTTCTGTGGTAGGCTGTAGTATCCCTTACGAACCTTTAATACTAAATTTGAAACAATTCCGGTGAATAATGTCGCTAAAATCATCAAAATATCGGATATCGGGAGGTACCATTATATGGGGGCTATACCAAAACGTGGACCTACATGCCTCATTTTCAATACCAAAAGTCCTGCATACATAATATACATTTGAGTAACATTTTATCAAGCTACTTCATTTTGTTCGAAAGCTAAAGTAATTTCCACAGACGGGTAGACGGATGGACATCACTAAATCGACATATAATTTTATGCTGATCAAGAATATACATACTTTGTGGGGTCTAAAATTTATATTTCGAGGTGTTACAAACGGAATGACAAACTTAATATACCCTCCATACCATGGTGGAGGGTATAAAAATTATATATGAGTGTTTCAGCTAATTTAGTATAAGTTCCAAGCAAGGTTAATTATACCCTCCACCTTTTGAAAGAGGGCATATTAAATTTGTCCTTCCGTTTGTAACACCTCTAAATATTCATCGTAGTGCCCATAAAGTATATATGCATCGTGATCGGCATTAAATCGTATGTCGAATGTCGTTTCTCTGTCTGTTTGAAGTAGATCTTTAAAGATTGGTACAATAGTTTGTATTGTGTCTAGGATGAGATATATCGGTATAACATTTTGGTATAGCCTCTTATAACGGTACTTCCCGATGTTCAGTATTTTGATTGTTTTAGCCATATTTTTCCACGGATTTGTCTAAAAAGTGTTGAGTTTTGCAACGTTTTCCCACGGAATTATTCTAAATTTGACATTAAGAGTAAGTTACGGGTTCTACTTCTGGTGGGAAAACATTGGCTGCATATTTCCACGTTTTCGTATAGCCCCCCCCCCCCCCCACATATTTGGTATTTGAAAAATTTTGCGCCATTTTCGCAAGCGTTGATTTAAAAATTGGTATTAATAGTTCGTAATGGATTCTTGAATAATTTTCAAAACATTGCCTATATTGGTCCACTGTTTCCGGAACCCACCTGTATTCTGTTAATCCTTGTCACAATTACCTACGGAATTGTTAACATTTGGTATTTAAGACCCGCAATAGATACGATATATTTGTATAAAATTGTATATACGCCCTGGTATGGCCTCCATATACTTTATTGTGTTTTGAAAACTTTACCGCATTCTCCAACCGATCTTACTAATAGTTGCATTTTAAAGTGCAATACGTCTGATTAACATTTCCAATTAAAATTGTAACTAAAACAACCAAAAACCTTTAATCACCGGTAGAGTTATATGGGGACTTTACCGAAACGTAGACCTGTATTATTTATTTTCAATACCAAAAGAATTTTAGGTAACCTTATTATATTAACCCTTTTCAGTTTTGTTCAAATACATTTCATTTGCATACATTTCAGTTGCCTTAAATCGTAATAAACTTAATTTGAAGGGTAAATCGGTGTCTAAGGCGTAGCTAATGTTTTTAATATTTTGGCCACTGTCCTTCTACAATACGCAATAAAAAAAGTAAGAGAAAACTCTCCAAAAATTTGGGTTTGGAATTTGTAATAAGCTTTATAATATCATATCGCTTATCATATTGGGCAAGGGAACCATACACACATGGTTTGATTATTATTTTATTATTTATAATATGTCATAATCTACAAAGGTTTTTGTGGTCCTTTGTTTTACTCATATTCGGGAATATTGTAATACATATCATATTAATCATCTTTGTTTACTTTCGATAATACTAATAAGTATTTTTTGATTACTTTTAATTTCAGAAGCATGCCCCAAAACTCCAACTGACGTAAAGACGTCAAATGAAAAGGTGCCGTCACCAGAAGTTCCATTAAATGGATCTCTGGTAAGTGCTCAAGGTCAGCAGCAGCAGCAACAGGCTGGACAGCCACAGTTGCCTCAGCAAAAAGCCAAACGAAAACACCGTCGAGGCAAACCAAAATCCAAAAATGTTAACAAACCGTACAAGAAATCCAATTGGAGATTTCAAATGCCACGCCTTAACTACAGTAAATGTGGTCCTGGCAGTGGCGGCGGTGGTGGGGGTTGCTCTGCTGGTGGTAATCGCCGTGAAAAGCTGCAACGTTCCCGTTCATTGGTACCATATAATACCAATAAATTTCTTATGGAAGAACACTTAGCAGAAGTTCCGAATGGCCTCTTTACACCCTCTGGCAGGACACGCGATTCTAGCTTCTCCATGGATTCAGAGGATAATTATTTCTTTTCGCTGCCCGAAGATGAGGAAGAATTTTTGACCAAGGAATTCGCCAATGTCTATGAGAAGGCCCGGGTCGAGCGTTTAGAAAATTTGAGCAAACAAGAACTCATCCAGGAATGTTTACAAATTGAAGATCGTTATTCCAAAGATCAGGGTAATCAAAGGCAACAGCAGACGAATATACAACGTATAGCATCGGAGTATATGGCTAAAGTACGAATGCTGGAAGAAAAAGTTCGTGAGCTATCAAGAGAGAATCATAGTAAGTATGACATTTTGGGATGATTAGTTATATTTGCGACATTCAAATCTGGAGTTTTAAGTGAATTCTTTAAAGTTTGAATTTTATATAATCATACATTATAATTATAAAGGCTTTATGGAACCAGATATTCTATCCTGGGTGTCGTCATTTTGTAGATTAGATTTAGGCTTGAAAAGAAACTTGATGAACTCTTTGAATAAACTTATCTTTTGCAGGCTAAGATATAGATAGGTCAGAAATAGTTCTAACCAAGGAACAAAGTAGCCGTAGAAAGTAATTGAAGTCATCTGATTTTTTCACGAAAATTGTTGAAGAGAGATTCTTCCAATTTTTGTTTTCCGACATGGAAAATCAATAAAAAAAAGATAACACAAGCAAAAGTAGTTAAAATTCTCTACAGGGTGAAATAAAAAAACTGCAACAAAGACAAACACCATAATTTTTGTTTAAATTTTATTGAATAAAAGCAAAAAATGTCGGAAATAGCATACAATTTTAGAAAAATTTTGTATTTGTTCGATTTGGTCACCTTTTGCGAGCAGCGTAGCGCTTGCGTGAGGTGATCTACATTTTGATATTTTTTAGTGCCAACCTTGCTTTCCAAAATACTTCAGATACAATAGTCCAACGGATTGGTATCCGGAGATTTTGGTGGCCATTGTGCGCTGGAAATGAAGGGAGGAACCTCATTTTGTAACATTTCCCAAGACTTTAATACACCCTCCAGAATATTTTCGCGATAATACTCGGCATTATTTTGATGCCACGTTCGATTAATAAGAGCGGAGAGCGACCATCGGCTGTTATGGCGGCCCACACCATACCATAACCCACGCATGAGTTTTGGTGGCCAACCCCTGAACAGCTGGCCTCTTTGGCAAGTAAACAGGATCCTTTTGTTTGTTTACAAACTGTTGGACAACGAATGTTTCCTTATCGGAGAAAACCAAATTCGACAGTTTACCACTTTCGTCCAAGCGAAGCAACTCTTTAGCTCTTTTGAGTCTATTTTCTTTCTGTTGCGGTGTAAGTTCTTGCACTTTTTGGAATTTCAATGGTTCATTTTTCAATATTTGGCGAATGGAAAATTGCGATATGTTCAGCTCACGAGCCATTTTTTGGCCACTGCGACGCGGGTTTCGATCAAGTCGCTTCTTTATTTTTCGAACCATTTCTGCTGATGTTGCTGTTTTCTTTCGTCCACTTCCTTGACGTCGGGCTACGCTACCAGTATCACTGTAACGAGCGATGGTACGAGGCACAAAAGATTTATTTTCAAATTTAAATGCTGAAGTGTTCTAACGATAGCCACTTGTGATTTTCCAGCCAAATATAAAGAAATCACACTAATAGGCTTGAATTCCATCACGAATAACTTTTTTTCTGGAAAACTCTCACCAGAATGCTTTTATATGCTTGGAAACAAAATAATGAGCTGTCACTGAAAAAATTTTAACAGCTTTCGGACGAGTGGCTTAGAAATGACAGCAGTCTGAAATTGGTTGCAGTTTTTTCATCTCACCCTGTAATGCCCAGAAATACAAATATCAAAATATAGGATTGTTTGCCATTGAGAATTTCTGATTCATTTAAGAATACTACTAAAATCTTTTTTCGATTTCTTTCAGATCTGCGCTGTCAGCTAATGCGTTCAGCTGCATTTGCCGCTGCTGCTGCGGCTTCACCACCCTCAGCTGCAGCACCCATTGGTGCTGCATGTCAACCAACGCCCATGGATTCATCGAGTGAGGACAGTGAAAGTGATAGCTCTAGTTCGAGTTCATCTTCATCATCATCATCCTCCAGCAGTGACAATGAAGAGGAGCGATGCAATGAAGCAGCGCGTCGTCGTAGGCGAAGTTGTTCATCTCATAGTTCTTTAAGTGAGTATAATGGTTATGTAGAAAATAACTATGTACAACAAAATGGTGCAGCAACAAACAATGAAGGTGGTATCCTGCAATCTGTATCTTCTCCGGTCCATCCCGTTGCCGCTGTCAATGATGCAGATTATGAGCAACAACAATTATTAAATGATGATCATATGGATGATGATGACGATGATGGCGATGATAATGAACCAAAAGAAACAAATCTTACAAATGGATTTCATGCAGACACTGAATCTTCTTCACCTGTTAGATTAAGTGCCAGACTTGTAGGTGGAAATAATGGTGACATACCTGATGGAGGAGGTGGCGGCGGTGCCGTCAATGATGATGGTGCAAATAATATTGTGGTCAATAATGCTAATGTACAGAAATGAATAACGGTTCCATTGATTCCCCTATTAATCTCCTGTTAAACCACAAAATCCTTTGCTTACCTAGTATGTGATCCTGTGAAATGTTTTATAAACACCACAAAATAAAAATTACGTTTTCGTTTATAAGTCGTATTGAAAAAAGAAACAAAATTTTGGTTGTTCCTACAAACAATTTAAATATTTCAATTTTTTCTTTGTATTTATCTTCAAGCTTATGATTTTATTAACTTCTTAAGTCAATTAAGTTTGACAAACAAACATTTATTTTTAACATATATTTTAGTCTCGTTTAAATGTTAAATAACATAACCAAACAACCAACAAACAACTCCCCTTAGAACTGTAGGCATTTTATATTTTTGTAAAAAATCGTACAATTATTACGCATAGAGAAAAAATATACATACAAATACATACTTACACAGTGAAATTTAAAAAAACGTACTTTATTTATTATACCAAATGTATTTAACCTCTTTGTAATTGGTTTATAAAAGTTTTTATTTTCTATAGGGATTTTTGTCTAGTTCGGCTATTTTGCATTATTTCAGAATGAGTGATTTATTATCCCTTGAGTGGGGAAATTATTTGCAAAGAATCTCATTCTCAATTTAAAAAGGTGAAGGCCAGTTTCCACATCGTGTTAGAGTCATATGTAAAGTGAAAGCATTTTATAAATAACATTTTTGTAACAAACTTACATTTTTTAAGCTTGATCGAAACCAAATACTTTAATAATCATATGCTGTTCAATGTTGTGTTAAATATATGTAATATAAAATATACAGGGTGTGATAAAAAAAACTGCGACAAGGTCAAACGCCATAATTTTTACATTTTTTTAATTTTATTGTACGAAAGCAAAAAATGTGGGAAATAGCATCAAATTTTAGAATAAGTTTAGATTTGTTCGAATTGGTCACCTTTGGCTCGAATTACGACCTTCAAACGAGCAATGAAATCGACACACACCGCCCGAATGTTGCTCTGCGGTATTTTGACCCATTCCCGACGATGCTGGAAATGAAGCGAGGAACCTCATTTTGTATCCATTCTTGGGAGGGGCGTGCTGAGTGCGATGGTTCTGAGTCCTGTTGGAATGTCCAAGGTCTGCGATCAAAATGTTTGCGCGCCCAAGGCTTTAATACACCCTTCAGAATATTTTCGCGATAATATTCGACGTTTATTTTGATGCCACGGTCGATTAATACGAGCGGAGAGCGACCATCGGCTGTTATGGCGGCCGTCACCATCACCGAAGGTGCACATTTTCAGCTGACCTCTTTGGAAAGTAAACACGATAATTTTGTTTGTTTACAAACTGCTGGGCATCGAATGTTTTCTCATCGGAGAAAACCAAATTTGGCAGTTCACCACATTCGGCCAAGCAAAACAACTCTCTAGTTCTTTTGAGTCTTTTCTTCTGTTGCGGTGTTAGTCTTGCACTTTATGGATTTTCAATGGCTTTACACTGATATTTGCCGAATGAAATATTGCAATATGTTCAGCACACGAGCCATTTTTCGGCCATTGCGACGCTGGTTTCGATCAAGTCGCTCTTAACTTTTCGAACTATTTCTGCTGATGTTTACTTTCGTCCACTTCCTTGACGATGGTACGAGACACAGACCAAAATGCTCTTGTACGCTCGTAAACAATATAATGAGCTATCACTGGAATAATTTTAACAGCTGTCGGACGAGTGGCTTAGAAATGACAGCAATCTGAAGTTGGTTGCAGTTTTTTCATCTCACCCTGAATGGTTTATTCTGAGATTTAAGGCGAAATGTTCTTTTCTTTATACCTTGGTCAGAAAATTAGGAAATATTTTCTGAGTTTATTTTATTATTTATTTTTATTTATTGATTTTTTTTTTTTTTTTTTTGGAACATTGATGCCAATATTTTATTTTTATTTAAAATAGGGTAGAAATATAGATTTCTTTTCTTTGGCGACTTATAGGAAGAATATTTTTGTCCTTAATGTCATCCTTCTAAAGTGATGTTTTGTTGGAGATTTTCGCATTGATAATAATACAATGCATATATGTATGTGTGCTAGGCAAGATTTAGACTGATGACGGACGTCTTCTAGTAGTTATAGTACAATTTTATGACAAATAATTTTGTAGAATATTTTGACTTGCTACGATTCCGTGTAAAGTATGTGTTTAACTACATTTAAAAAAGGCCAAAAAGTCCGCTTTTTTAATTCTCTCTTTATGGTTCAAATTTTCGACAAAAAAATATTCCTTGCATTTTTGTCTGCAATATTGCCAAAGACAATATATACCTAAAGTGGATTCTTTATCCGAAAATATTCAAATGAATGGAAAAGAGGAAAAGATTTCAAAACGCCGTTTCGCGCGTCTTCTATTTTAGCTCTACTTTCATAATCTGCTAGAAATTATTGAAAAATTGAATTTTGTCACACAGTGGTATTCACGTTTTCCAATATTGCAAAATGAAATATACCTTATATATATAAATGTATTTTGATTTCAATACAAAGTGGCTGTTACATTATCACGATTTCCTAGAAATTGCTTGAAAGTATTGCACAATTTGCCTCTGCAGCTGACAAGTATACATTGAGAGGAAGGATATGAAAGCATTAAAATTAAGCATTTTAAGAATATTTGTTCTGCATTTTGAATTTAATAATCCTTAATTTGGATCAGCAGATGTCGTCTATGTCTTTTCAGGGGTACTCAAATCTAAAATGTTAAAAATATCAACAATTTAAGGATATTTGTCAGTTGAAGACTATTCAATAATCACTCGATAACATTTTAACTGTTGGCCTGTTACTAAAAAAAAGTTATAATTAATTGATTGACTGTGCGGCCTGACTACGTAAAAGTATGTTTTAGCAGAAACAAATCTCCTTCCATTACTGTAGACAGGAATTCTTATAGCCAATAAAATTAAGCATTGGAAATTGGTATATTTCACAACAAATATTATTGCCCATATTATTTATTTTGAAATATTTATTCGTATTTTAATAACCAAAAAAATTATTTAAAATCAGTATATTAAATCGTTTTTATCTTTCCTAATTGATGACGCTAAAAATATGCAAATATACATTTTTTCACATTATTGCCGAGAAAAAAAATACCCCTTTGAATGTAAATGTGATACAAATTGCGAAAATATATTTTACAAAATAATTTAAGTTTTATGGTTTATTTTCTAACCATATTTTGTAGTTAATTATAAGACAACCATATTTTTTTTAATAAATAGAGTAATGCATCCACCAGAAAATTTGTTGTTTTTTGACAATAATCTAATCTGTTCTTCATTTTAAATAAGCTCTTTTGTGAATTAAATAGGTAAGTATTAGAGACTCGTCGAAGCTATCGGCACACACTTGTCTCATAAACGTTATATGTGCACCAAAAAGTTACTAATTCTAATAAGACAATTTTGCACCATTCGAAAACGTTAAATTTGTCGTTGATAATTGTTTGGAGTCAAATACATCAGTTAGTCTTGCATCTAAAATCAAATAGATAACAAATCATTACAAAACCGAACAATATAAGCAACATCTAAGAAAATGTCTTATATACCAACGCATTTCTTGCCTCAGAATTTCGTTTTTGTCTCGGCTGAACTGTTTCAAAAAAAAAAAAAAAAATGCTGCATACCTTCAGGCCCGTTGGCAATTCATATTAATTTTATTGATGGGCAACTCAAACAAAAGTCGACTTAGGTTTCCCTAGCTGGTTGTCATCAGCTCGTATCGAAATGGAAACCTATTTTCTATGCAGTGATATTTGACAAGGTAAATTACAGAAAATGCAGAAAAGGGCCTTATAATTTGAAATGATTAAATTGTACCATGCATTTTCCCTGCCCCCCCGCGCAATCCCAATCGACTATGAATAGTTCAGTACTCGGTTTTCACCCAAGTCCATAGTCGAGTTCGGGAAACGATAGTAGCAACTAGTTCCGCGCTCTTTAGAGAAATTGTTTAATTTTCTTTTCTCACGTCTCATTCGTAAACAACAGAGTAGTCGGGCGTTATGCATTACACTCATTCATAAACAACATATTTGTTTGGTTGGGACGTTTTTCATTCCTGTTTTCAACGCTCGCAACGAACAACCAACCAAACGAAAGCGCGCGCTCGAAGCAACTCCGAACAACAATAAGTCCAAAAGGGGGGATAAAGCCAATAAAACAATCAAGGAATTGGATGGGACACATTTGTAAGTAAGTAATTCTAATTGCTTTGCTATGCATACACCTTGGACAACCAAGGATAAAGTGGCGTCATTTGTAAGATGGTGGAGATCGGACCCGGATCCTGATGCTAATGCAAAATCTGCTGTGAAGATGGGGATACTGCTATATGGGGGCTATACGAAGGCGTGGACCTGCACAGACAATTTTCTGTCTTAGGCTATGTTATCCATTTCGAACTTCAAATACCAAATTGGAAACAATTCCGGTGAATAATATCGCTAAAATTATCAAAATATTAAATATAGGAAGGTATCGATATATGGGGGCTATATGATAACGTGGACCTTCATGGCCCATTTACGAACTTAACCTGCCTACTGGCAAAAAATTTAATAAAGAAATTACAAATTATAGTTATCAAGCATAAAAACGTTGCAAACAGGTGTGAGATTCCGTAATCTGAACACTGGCCATAAATTGACTAGACAAGAGCATTGGTGCAGAGGTGTGTTTTTTTTTTGGCTTAACTCTAGTTTAGTAGAAACTCTTCAATTTTTTCCAGTGGTAGGTATTTTTACCCTGATCCTTTTCTTGGGGGACGGACCCGGGACCCCAGATTCTTGACCCCAAAGTCCGGGTTCAAAATCCCGACTAGACCCGGATCCAATTACCCGATATATACAATATAGGAAAGTGGTCACGGTTCGTAAGTTATAGTCAAATTATCGATTTTTTGGACCCGAATTTTTTATAAAACCCCCAAAAAGTTGAAAAAGGCCCCATTATGGGAGTCAACAAAATTGATGGCAATTTATAGCTGATACTCTTACCTTTCCAAAATGCTACAATTTGTGCTATTAACTTTACTGAGTCCAGATATATGGGTCTTTCCATCCGCATAACCCGATTCTAACCAGTTCATTAAAATTATGTTTTCAATAAAAAAGGTTT